GTGGAGTGTATGGATGATACTTCCATGGTGTTGCATGTGTTTGTAATGTTGATATGGTGTTGCCTGTGTGTGATGTGAGTGTGTGGATGTGTGGATGATACTTCCATGGTGTTGCATGTGTTTGTAATGTTGATATGGTGTTGCCTGTGTGTGATGTGAGTGTGTGGATGTGTGGATGATACTTCCATGGTGATGCATGTGTTTGTAATGTTGATCTGGTGTTGCCTGTGTGTGTGATGTGGAGTATATGGATGATACTTCCATGGTGTTGCATTTGTTTGTAATGTTGATATGGTGTTGCCTGTGTGTGTGATGTGGAGTATATGGATGATACTTCCATGGTGTTGCATTTGTTTGTAATGTTGATATGGTGTTGCCTGTGTGTGTGATGTGGAGTATATGGATGATACTTCCATGGTGTTGCATTTGTTTGTAATGTTGATATGGTGTTGCCTGTGTGTGTGATGTGGAGTATATGGATGATACTTCCATGGTGTTGCATTTGTTTGTAATGTTGATATGGTGTTGCCTGTGTGTGTGATGTGGAGTATATGGATGATACTTCCATGGTGTTGCATTTGTTTGTAATGTTGATATGGTGTTGCCTGTGTGTGTGATGTAGAGTATATGGATGATACTTCCATGGTGTTGCATTTGTCTGTAATGTTTACATGGTGTTGCATTTGTTTGTAATGTTGATATGGTGTTGCCTGTGTGTGTGATGTGGAGTATATGGATGATACTTCCATGGTGTTGCATTTGTTTGTAATGTTGATATGGTGTTGCCTGTGTGTGTGATGTGTATATGGATGATACTTCCATGGTGTTGCATTTGTCTGTAATGTTTACATGGTGTTGCATTTGTTTGTAATGTTGATATGGTGTTGCCTGTGTGTGTGATGTGGAGTATATGGATGATACTTCCATGGTGTTGCATTTGTTTGTAATGTTGATATGGTGTTGCCTGTGTGTGTGATGTGGAGTATATGGATGATACTTCCATGGTGTTGCATTTGTTTGTAATGTTGATATGGTGTTGCCTGTGTGTGTGATGTGGAGTATATGGATGATACTTCCATGGTGTTGCATTTGTTTGTAATGTTGATATGGTGTTGCCTGTGTGTGTGATGTGGAGTATATGGATGATACTTCCATGGTGTTGCATTTGTCTGTAATGTTTACATGGTGTTGCATTTGTTTGTAATGTTGATATGGTGTTGCCTGTGTGTGTGATGTGGAGTATATGGATGATACTTCCATGGTGTTGCATTTGTTTGTAATGTTGATATGGTGTTGCCTGTGTGTGTGATGTGGAGTATATGGATGATACTTCCATGGTGTTGCATTTGTTTGTAATGTTGATATGGTGTTGCCTGTGTGTGTGATGTGGAGTATATGGATGATACTTCCATGGTGTTGCATTTGTTTGTAATGTTGATATGGTGTTGCCTGTGTGTGTGATGTGGAGTATATGGATGATACTTCCATGGTGTTGCATTTGTCTGTAATGTTTACATGGTGTTGCATTTGTTTGTAATGTTGATATGGTGTTGCCTGTGTGTGTGATGTGGAGTATATGGATGATACTTCCATGGTGTTGCATTTGTTTGTAATGTTGATATGGTGTTGCCTGTGTGTGTGATGTGGAGTATATGGATGATACTTCCATGGTGTTGCATTTGTCTGTAATGTTTACATGGTGTTGCATTTGTTTGTAATGTTGATATGGTGTTGCCTGTGTGTGTGATGTGGAGTATATGGATGATACTTCCATGGTGTTGCATTTGTCTGTAATGTTTACATGGTGTTGCATTTGTTTGTAATGTTGATATGGTGTTGCCTGTGTGTGTGATGTGGAGTATATGGATGATACTTCCATGGTGTTGCATTTGTTTGTAATGTTGATATGGTGTTGCCTGTGTGTGTGATGTGGAGTATATGGATGATACTTCCATGGTGTTGCATTTGTTTGTAATGTTGATATGGTGTTGCATGTGTTTGTGACAGAGTGTATGGAGGATAATTCCATGGTGTTGCATGTGTTTTTGATGTTACCAGGAGCTGAAGGTTTCACCACCGAAGAGGACCAGGAGCTGCTGAGTCGTATCGAGAAGCAGATGAAGAGACGCTTCATCATCGGGTCCCAGGTGTCAGAACACGCCATCATACAAGACTTCACCAGACAGGTAGGTTGCGACAGTTACACAACTCCACCAGGGGTCTGTTTTAACAAGACAAGTTGAGACAAAATTTTGTAGTCTAAGAAAGCTTGTCAGGCAAGTTTTGGCCTTGTCTGAGGACAGCAACTCAGATGATCAGAGTTGTCTCCCTTACACTAAGCCTTCACGGTATAAGGGAGACAACTCTCTGATCATGAGTTGCTGAGTAGTAATAATGAAGCCACCAAAACAGCAAATGTGAGAGAAGTTTCCACCTGTTGACTCCTTTCTTCAAAAGTTGCCAAAACATTCTTATAAAAGTGTGTTCTTTGTCATGGTTGTTGGAAACGAACATGTTTTTCTTGTTCTCTACTTGGGTATGCCTACAGACACAACTCTTCAAAATCATTGCATTTTGAGCCAATAAGTTTTTAACCTTAACTTTATGGCCTCATTATTTTGATTTTGTCACTGTGATCAATTAAGTTGTTTCTGCTTCATACAATGTTACTTGAATACCTCTTTCCCGAATTTTGCACAGAATATGACTAAACATGCTTTTCAGATTGAAATGCCATATCTCTCACAAATGAAAGTATATAAAGTATCAGTAACGTTGCTTGGCCAATGTTATCGAGATGCAAAATTCAGAAACACTACTTGCCGGAAGCAAAATATCAAAGCATTCTTGCTGAATTGCATTGGATTGACTATAGAAGATTGATTCACAGTATCTTGATTCACAGTATCTTGACTCAGAGTGATCAGATTTGAGTACAATTGTGTTGACGCTAATTCGGTAAAACCTGTTAATGAATGTTGAGTTTTAATCATTATAAACCAGATTGTTTCCTGCTCGACATCGGGTCTGACAATGTAATCCTTGTTTCAGAAATACCCGGAGAGAGCGATACAGAAAGTTGTTTATCTGATGCTGCGGCGCGGAGAGATTCAACATCGCATGCAGCGTAAGATGTTGTACCGAGTCAAGTAATACAAGTGATGCTGTGTTGAGGTGATGACAACAAAGGGTGACGTTTCCATGTAGAAGAGTCATTCCCAGGATTTATCTCAACCTACTCCAGAAGACCTATTACAGCCCCATGACTTTGCTTAAGTCAGTTTATATTCACAGTTGGAATTACAACTTTCCAAAGTCATGTTCTATGATCTTGGTTAATGTCATGGCTTTGTTCTTTGGACGTGAATTTGACTGACCAATTTGAGCAAATTTTCCATTAATTTTTGCCTACTAAGGATTTGATGGAATTCTTGGCTAAATCCATGCTCTTGTACACTACCGTGTTTGGGATATTCTTCAATGTATAAAAAACAAATGTAAATGATATGTAGATATTGTAATCGGGAAGATTCACTACCGATATGTTTGTACAGAATAATGTGTCTACTCTTGGTGGAACTGTTTCAATGGTTGAGAATTCACTGTATTTGTGGCAAGTGCTTTGTATATGTAAATACACAATAAATGTTCATTCATGTTATGTGAGTTGTCATTATCTTTGTTTGTTAATTAACCTCGATAATCCAGTTGTCTGAAGCTGGAATATCATGAAATCTTGGCCAAACCTCAGTAATCCAGCTGTTTGATGAAGGTAGAAATCATGAAATCTTGGCCAAACCTCAATTCAGCTGTGTGATGCAGGTGGAAATCATGAAATCTTGGCCAAACCTCAATAATCCAGCTGTGTGATGAAGGTAGAAATCATGAAATCTTGGCCAAACCTCAATTCAGCTGTGTGATGCAGGTGGAAATCATGAAATCTTGGCCAAACCTCAATAATCCAGCTGTGTGATGAAGGTAGAAATCATGAAATCTTGGCCAAACCTCAATTCAGCTGTGTGATGCAGGTGGAAATCATGAAATCTTGACCAAACCTCAATTCAGCTGTTTGATGAAGGTAGAAATCATGAAATCTTGGCCAAACCTCAATAATTCAGCTGTTTGATGCAGGTGGAAATCATGAAATCTTAATGCGGGGTTAAACAAACCAACCAAGAACGTTTGTGTCAAGGGAGAAACTTTGTTCTGATTGGCTAAAATCAAGACAAAAGACACCAGAGTTTTTAGCAACTATATTATTGTAACAGAAGAACAGAAAGCAATAAGGCGACGGTACAATAAATAACTTAAAACAAAGTGTCAAGTGCTTGCAATAACAGATGCAAACCCTTAGCTCTTCTTCCGGAAGTCATGACAAGAAGTCTCGTGGTTACATGTGGTAGATGTACAAATAAAGTACCCAGCTGACGTGGGGGACATTTCCTCTCTGGTCGCCCTTGTGGCCTAGCGGATCGAGCGACTGCTTGGAGAGCTGAAGTCTGTGGTTTAATCACCGCAGGCACCATATCACAAATAGCACCTGGCTCAGCGTTAGAGGTATAACATAGGGTCTAGTCATCTTCGTTTGTATAATTTGTCTCATGTTACCCCGCGGTATTGTTTCTTCCTTGACAAACTCTATAAAACCGGCTTCCCACGAACTATATATACTACCCATCAAAAGTTTAGACTCACTCAAAGCACTCACTATGTGTGTGTGTGTATCTATATATATATATATATATATATACATGGTTACATCGAAGATGAATTTCTCCACTAACTTGGGGAACCAACTGCAAACCTTATGCAGAATTGAGAGGAGAGATGACTTGCATGAGGATCTAGCATCAAATTGTTGAAAAGCATGTGCAAATAGCGTGCATGGGGACAGCTGCGTTTTGGTGTAAAGTTTTGTTAGAATTCGCTGTGTTTCATCATTTATTGAACTCAAATTTGTTTTACAATACATCAGTTCACGTGTAAACAGCACCTTTAAAGACTATGGAATATTTTGCAAAATCTAGCTTAGATCAGTTGACTGAAGTAAGTGGCTACATTTACACTAGTGAGTATAAATTGTTGATGGGTAGTATATTACAAGCAGGCACACTTAAACCTGCATGCACCTATATTTTCTAATTCTTAAAAAATAAAGCGATATTATTTACATGGACCATGGTTATAGCTATCAGTCGGGGACATTCGTCCTGGGTATGATGTATACATGTATATAGGATGGCGCCTTTTCCTCTAATGACTCGTGTCGTCCGGAGCTATAGGACAGGATTCATTAACTCTATTGTTATAAACTAGCAACACAATCTATTCGTCAGATGACAGGCAGTAATGGTTAAATACGGATACCAGCATCCATGACAATATTTCACTAGACTAGCAATACGAGGCGACAGAAACGTAGAATGCTGACGTATCAATTTACACAAAGCGCCCAACACTTTGGAAAGACCGAGTGAGTATAATTTTACGCCGCCTGTAGCAATATTCCAGCAATATCACAGGACAACAGAAATGGGCTTCACACATTGTTGGAAAGACCGAACTTGTGGTTGTTTCGTTGGGTTGCAATGAACACTGAGGTAGATAAATGTGATGAATTCACTGTGGGCAATTAAGACGAATATTTGTATAACGCAGCTTCACGTATAACGTGTCTAGAGGCATCCGTCTAGTGTACCGGGATGGGTGGGGCCTCAGGTTTTCACTCACTAACATGCTGATTTAAATTGTTCCTCTCCTTATTCGTGTCATAATTTGGAGATCCCGCCCCGAAAAGACTGTAAACATCTTATATTTTATTCTAAAATGTCTTTCCACCCAAAATGTGTATATTGTATCACCCTCCTTAGACACTCCTATTGATTAGTGACCATAATGTCTGGCGGCTCACCCTCAAACACGCACTCCTAATCAAAAGGCCGGCCCCTAACGTCATTCCTTCAGAATGGGTTGAAAATGCGGGCTGGATTAATACCCAAGATCAACCCGAGAGCCGACTGGCCATCTATTTACTTGACTAGCACATGAATAAGGGATATGTAACATAGATCACTAAACGAAATAAGCTAAAGCTGAATATTAATAATACTGACGGTTACCCGTGTTCCTGTGACTAACGCGACCATTGCAAGACGTTTTGTGGTAAATCTCAGTAACTGGCACATGGCGCGGATGTGTGGGACCTACCGACGATGAAGATTATGATGATGATGATGATGGAGCTGATGTGTATGCAGCACTACCGTTGATGAGGATTATGATGATTATGATGGAGCTGATGTGTATGCAGCACTAATGATGATGATGATGATGATGATGATGCTGATGTATGCAGCACTATCGCTGATGAGGATTATGACGATGAAATGGTGTTGATGGAGCGAGCACAAAGTCTTGGCGATGCTGTACGTGCAATACCGACGATGAAGATTATGATGATGATGTAGCAGCACAAGTCCTGTGCTGCGGACGATGATGATGAAGTTATGAGCGTTCAGGCGCGGGAACTACAACCTACAGTACCATTGCTTTAAGCTGGTCAGTGTATTTCCGTCGATAAGTCAGCCACGGCTCGCTCTCGTATTCCTCTACTAAATAAAGATTGTCTTTTGCATGTAGAAGCAGCCTGAGACGGGCAATGAACATCCGCCACTCGGTTGCACTGTCTGCGCATTGTTGCAGCAATGGCGCCGTAGCGCGGCACAGACGACCTGCAGTACCCTCCACAACGTGGCGGGAAGTAGTAGCTTCACAGCAGACGACATGGAGTTCATTAAGTAGGTTTTCTATTTCGGCTTTGCGCTTCGACTTTAGAGCTTTTAATAACTGTTCTCTGAGAATGTTCTGTTGTTGGCTAATGGTTCCCTCGAAGAGCATGGTGTCCAGTCTGACCAGGAGGTGCGCGCCTCTTCCGCGGACAGACTTGGCAGCGTCGTCTCTGCTCTGCAGGATCCTCTGGACGTCCTCCATGTGAGGTCCGAGAATGCCGCTCTCACTGTCCATGAACCTCAACGCTGTTCCTCCCGCTATGCCGATAATGTCTACTCCGGCAAACACAGCCTGTCTGATTTTGTCGAACTTGATACCAGATACGTGTGTGACCAGACCGAGCATGTGAGCCCGGTGATTGAAGACAAGAGCTTCTTCAAATCCCAACATGTCCTTTGAAATACTGTCACCACTTCCTCCCGTGAGGCACACAGCATCGAAACCACCCATTGAGGTTATCTCAAGAATTCTCATTGCTATATCGCTGTTGCTGACAAGATGCATTGGTTTTTCTCGCTCATAGTCGTCAAAAACGATCTGGTTGAGAGTCCACGCAGCGGAAAGAAGCTGACTGAAGCGTTCACGGCTGACGTTAGAAGTTAGAGCTCTCATGTACCTCACAACCTGGCTTGTACTGAGTCCGTCCATGGTCACCTTGTACTCGGCAGCTCCCCGATGGAAGGCCGCTGTGGCTTCAGAGGATACCACATAAACTATCTCCCCAAACTGTTCATCAAATCCACCATATTCAGAGAGAACCGCTGTTCCCACAGATGTGGAGGTTGGCGCTGCTGATCCTGTGTGGAGGCGCACCTTGGACAGATCTAACAAAGATGGTCGTTTATCAGCAGGGTGTTCCTCTGGCTGGTGACTCTGGGTATCCACGTTGATGACCGCGCCCTGCATCCAGTTCATACAACGAGTTGTACCCAACACGTGTCCATCGCCTGGATCTGTGAAGGACATGTATGTTTGCGTGTGTGGGCGGAATCCGGGGGATCCTATAGGCATGTGCGCGGACAAGTCCAAACGATGTCCCTTGGACAGCTTGTAGTATGCCAGCTGGTAGGCCAGGTATTCTGAGCACGTCGGTTGCCGTTCCTGTTCCCGGAGATGGTGGGCTATCTGTGACATCGTCTGTATCAAATCTGACCCATACTTGTGTTTGTCCCATGTGAAAGTGACGGTATTCAAGACAAACTGGACCTGAAAATGGACCAAAGTCAGCAATAGATATGATGTTTAAAACACAGATATAGGACGGTGTGGTAGCCTCGTAGTTGAAGTGTTCGTTCGTCACACCGTAAATCCGGGTTCAAATCCCCACTTCTGGTGTTCTTCCTCATGATCTTGCTGGAATATTGCTAAAGGCGGCGTAACATGAAGATAAATACCAGTTTCTGATTTCCTCCTCAAAAATTTGATCCGATTTAGGTAAGGTATAACCTTTATTGTCGTATACTAGTATGGGTGTTGATGGAGCAGCGCAGTGATGCAAGTCTTACACTTTTAGCGCTTTGATGCTTAGTGAGTGAGTGAGTTGGTTTTTACGCCGTTTTCAGCAATATTCCAGCAATATCACGGCGGGGGACACCAGAAATAGGCTTCACACAGAGTACCCTTGTAGGGAATAGAACACGGGCCTTCAGTGTGACAAGCGAACGCTTTAACCACTGGGCTACCCCACCGCCCCTTGATGCTTAGTGACGCAGTTCTAAGACTAGACGCTTAGCTCTTTAGTGAAACCCACGGTCACAAGCTAACGATCCCATAGACATTATCAGTTTTAACCGGGATTCGAACCAATTATCATACGATTTTGGAACGCAAACATAGCGAATTCCGGTTCTTTACACTCCTGTGGGATTTGTGTATGTCATAATACGATTTTCTAACCTGGTATGTGATCTCGCCTTGAGCCTCTCTTGGAAAGGCACCCACAAGTGCATGCTCGAGTTCCCAATGACGCATTACTCCCAGGGTGACCCTGAACGCCCTGAAGACGGCGTCTGTTACGAGCTGGGCAGTGGAGGCGAACAGGATCTCCTCAACGATGGATAAGAAGGTCTCGCGCCGCATGCTGTCCTTGGGGAAGATGGCCTCGACCTGACGATTCACGTATGCCCTGAAGGCGTCCGTGTCTGCAGATGTGGTCGTGTTGACGTGGGCGGAGTGATTGTCCATGCGTGAAGGAGGAGACAACGCTGCAGAGAGTGCAGGTTTCGCAACATCTGCCGACATCATAGGTGCAACAGGATTGCTCATCGTTTCAGTACTAGTTACCATGTAGGTTGGTATGTCTGAGAGTGGTACGTATTCTCCGTCCAGCGTCTCACAAACCGGTAGGTGTCTGTTGAGGAGTGACATACGCCTCTCTGTGTTCGGGCGTGGCATCGATACATTTTCCTGGGTGTGGGGACCGACATCCCTGTCCGTGTCCTCGATGGGAGTAGATGAGGGTGGCGTTGAATTCTCCCTTTCTTTCCCCGGGGGTCGGAGCGTGGCAAGGCCGAGGAGTAGGTCGTGGAGACTAGAGACTGCCACCTGTCGGAGGGTGCCAACACCAGCTGTCACGGTCGCAGGACACTGTATATGGAACATGCATGGATTTTAAAGACATCATCAATTCAGAATGTTCAAAACAGAACATGACTACAATCTCAGAATTTGAAGTGTTAGACTCGAACAGGTAGCTGACATATTCTTCGGAATGGTCCTGTAGTAGTTTTGCTGAAGGATTGCTTAAAGCTGCGTAAACCATAACCATTCACCCCCTCACTCACTTCATTTTAGCGCTTGGAACAGCCCCAGTGATTCGTAGAAATATAACGCAATTCAGATGTGGCTGGCAAAATGTGTGAAAACTACCTTTGCTAATGCTGAGAGGGTGGAGTATCGTGTATACTCTCTGATATACCGTTCATCAGTTGCAAAACCATCTGTAGCCACTACAGCGGTGAATGAATATGCGTTTACGCCGCTTTCATCAATATTCCAGCAATGTCACAGCGGGGGACACAAACAGCCAAGGCTTCACACATTGTACAGGGCGGCGGGATAACCTAGTGATTAAAGCGTTCGCTCGTCACGCCGAAGGCCCCGGGTTCCCCACATGGGTACAATATGTGACACCCATTTCAGGTGTCCCCCGCCGTGATATTACTGGAATATTGCTAAAAGCGGCGCAAAACCCAACTCACTCACTCACACAATGTACCAATGCGGGGAAGCGAACCCAAACCTTAGGCTTGACTGGCGGAGGCCTTTAACCACTAGTCTAACCCACGTCCCAAGCCCATTTCTGGTGTCAACCGCGCGTGATATTGCTGGAAAAGCGGCGTAAAACCATACTCACTCACGTCCCAATATTTATTATAAAAGATGCACTTGAATCATGAAGATTTTAGCAATGTGAAATGTTTTGTACCAGTTCTTCCGTGATCAAGCCATTGTCGTCCACGTCCACGTCCACGTCCACGTCCACGTCCACGTCCACACGGCAGATGTCTTCTTTGGTGACCGAGGTTGGGCCGGACTGTCCGAGGTCTGACCTGCCTACAACACAGAACATTTACGTCAGAGACCTGGCACCGTAGTCGAGAAACGTAAATTACAGTTCGCCTATGCTCTGTGAACAGAAAAGTACATACACATCACTTTGAGAATATTTTACCCGCGGTAGATAAACTTGAATATGATTTCGTATTTGTTGAATTAAAAGGAAACATGATTCAGTTCCGCTACAATATCATATACTATTGGTATGACAACACATCCGAACAATCGACCTCGTTCAGCCCTAAACCGGACAATTAAAATAATATATCCTTATCAAAAGCTGATAATGTTATATACATTTCTTAAAATTGTTAACTGTTGCTATTATGAACGCGTATCACAAATTAAAAAAAGGATTAAATGATAAAAAGTAGACAAACGTCATATGAAATATATTTCATTATGACTTTGTGCTTTAGGACACCACGACTAGCACCTGTTGCTGAGGTTCGGTTACCCAAAGCTATGTTAACCCTAAGACCGACTTATCGCCTATCACTTAACAGGCCTGCGGGAGCTGTGACACTGATAACACTGGAGTTTTCCCATTAAGACTTACTGGTATACAGCTTGCTCCAAGTAGATCGCATTGATAACCTCTGAAACAGCAATATTGAAATTCTTCTTTATTCATATCTAATGTGTGTGAAGAAATTGAGCGTAAATTGTTTTAGAAAAATAATCAACCGCTTGTTTGACTGAATGTCTGATGCGCCTGTGATTTACTTGCAGACTTCATTAAGATGGGTTTTTTTGTATTTCTAAAAAAATTAAATGTTTTTCTTTTTTTCAAATTTATCAAAGACAAATAACAAATAATAATTATGGTGATACCGCGAAAACCTGCAACATTGCTGGTGCGGCTTAAAGCAACATTTACTCTCTCAGTTATGTTGGATAAAATATGTAACTCTCTACCAGATACCATCCCACTGAACCCCACCATCGAGGACTGCTGCCCAACAGAGGCGGTTGGGTAGCCTAGTCGTGAAAGTGTTCGCTCGTCAAGCTGAAGACACGGTTCGATTCCCCATACGGGTACAACGTGTGAAGCCCATTTCTGGTGTCGCCCGCCGTAATATTGCTGGAATATTGCTAAAAGCGGCGCAAAACCATACTCACTCGCTCACTGTAGCCCCACCTGCTCACTGTTGCCTATAAAACTGACCTACCTGCGTGATATGAGAGCAGGTCCATAGCGCTAACATCGCTCCCAATCCGACTAGCCCAACTGTTGATAGACAGGCTCCGATCAGTGCAAACCAACTCGTGTACATCCAGGCCATGCTGTCAACCTGTAATAATAAGAAATTACTTTTTGAATTAACGTGAAAAGAAAATGAGGACTTAATGATATGACTCCAGTAATCTAAGTGTCGATTTGACATTGAAACTATGTCGTGCGAGGCAGATTTAAACATTAATCACATAGGTAGGCTGAGAGAGAGAGAGAGAGAGAGAGAGAGAGAGAGAGAGAGAGAGAGAGAGGAGAGAGAGGCGAGAGAGAGAGAGAGAGAGAGAGAGAGAGAGAGAGAGAGAGAGAGAGAGAGAGAGAGAGAGAGAGAGAGAGAGAGAGAGAGAGAGAGAGAGAGAGAGAGAGAGAGAGACCTTTGTCCTGAAAGTTTATTAAAAAACAATGGGAACTGTCGTGAAAGCGGGTGTTAATAACCTGTGCAACACCCCCGACCGACCTGCCAACCCGCGCCCCTTTTCCAAAAGCTGGATCTGCCCCTGAATTCTGTGATAACCAACTTCGCAGGCTTACACAGCACATCACAGGCTTCTTGGGTTATCTGCTCCACAGAGGGATAACATTTAGATATCGTGATCTGAGGGAATCTGGACACTTAACATTTGACATTTCCGTTAGACAAATTCATAGTATACCATGATAATTTCATGCATTTTATGTCCAGTGATTGGCATAATTTAGAACCGGCTAGGAACGTTTCAAGACACATTTCCATGAAAACAACCCGGGTTGTTAAAACAATCAGTCGCGATTATTGCGTCTCCATCCTGTTGTAATACATAACAATGTAACGGCTCCATTTAATGACGCGGCGCTAAAAATACCCGACCAATCAAATTAGACTCTTGTGGGAGGGAAAGTTCTCAATGGTTTCAGTTGCATATGGTTTCAGAGAGCCATCATATGATGGGCACATAATACATTCTGTAACTACTAATCATACTGGATCATCTCACAAAATGTATCTATATAAAAAAACATGTCTCAAGTTAAGTCGTGTAAATAATGGGCAGTGGGGTAGCCTAGTGGTTAAAGCGTTCGCTCATCACGCCAAAGACCCGGGTTCGATTCCCCACAAGGGTACAATGTGTGAAACCAATTTTTGGTGTCCCTCGCCGTGATATTGCAGGAATATTGATAAAAGTGGCGTAAAACTATACTCACTCACTCACTCGCTCGTGTAAATACCTATCATATAACACATCGAAAAGTATAGCGTATATATGTGGTGCATGTAGGCACCCAATATCTATCTATGCAATCGAAAGGACTTCTTCAAATTCATCAGTTTCATGAATAATATACGTGTGCGTGTAATGCATTGATGCATTAGAATCGTAGGAAAAGTTGCGCCTGAGGGTCAGATTTCCTAGAACACAATATGTACAGTGGACTCCCTCTAAACCGATATCGCTCGGGACCGGTGAAAAATGTTGATATAGAGGGAGTTTTTAGAAAATAAGTCCAAAATGAAACCACACACAGTCAAAATTAAACAAACACAGTGAAATGTATGTTTATATCAATGGCTCTTAATGTAATTAACAAATATACTCTGTGTAATAACAAATGATTACAAAAATGATATTTAATGATGAACAAAAGAGTCAATTATGGTGGTTTGGCGGGTGGTAAGAAGTTTTTGGTCAAGAGCACAGTGATTGCCTTACACAACTCACTGCAATCTCTTGTGAAATTATAATGTCGCCTAGTTGTTAAAGCGCTCGCTCGTCACGCCAAAGAAACGGGTCCGATTCCCCACATAGGTACAATGTATGAAGCCCATTTCTGGTGTTCCCAGCCGTGATATTGCTGTAATATTGCTAAAAGCGGCGTAAAACTAAACCCCACTAACTCAGTCACTGCTCAATTCCATCTGATGCATGGGCTGTGCCACAGTCCCACAGTCCCTGAACCACATTCATTTCCCTTGATGCAATGCTAAAATGTATGATTTTTTAATGAAGACTGATTTTTTGGAGTAGCATGTACAATGTGAATGAACACACACACCACACACACACACACCAATTTGAAGTACAAAGTAAGTACAATATCACAAAATCAATGTACAAAATGGTTGAACACACCACCCACCCACCCAAACCACCCCATCTTCACCATCAACTTCACCGCTCCTAGCCATAAATTATGAACGGACCCTTATCGTGTTGTTTTCCACATACTGTCATACTGATAAGAGAAAGTTATTGTTTATCAAACATGAAGAGAAAAATGGACACTTACAATATTGAGACTCCAGTTGAGTACCTGTGGATTTGTCAATCACAGTAATAGCGTTTGAGTCACATTTAGACAATAGCTCTGTGAAAACTAACTTCACAGACAACGGAGATCGTTCTATAATTAGGCATAGCTGGACTACTTCACAGACAACGGAGATCGTTCTATAATTAGGCATAGCTGGACTGGGCCCAGCAACACGGAGTTATCATACCATAATAACCAAAACGTTTATGACGTCACTGGATGTTTTAAATTGTTAGGTGTGTCAGTTCTATGATAGTGTCCATAGCTGAAAAGGTTGTAACACTTAACACTCGATCCTCATGACAACTATTTACTTAAACACCGGATCGTAGCAATAAAAATAGATAAACAAAATACGACGATGATGATGACAACGATGATTGTACTACTACTAATTAAACAGATAGATGCTCATGCTGTTGATCACTGGATTGTCTGGTAAAGACTCGATCATTTACAGACCGCGGCCGTATAGCTGGAATATTTCTGAGTGCGGCGTAAAACAACATACAATGCAAACAACAACAAAACCACCAAACTAATTATACTTATGAGTGAGTGAGTGAGTATGGCTTTACGCCGTTTTTAGCAATATTCCAGCAATATCACGGCGGGGGACACCAGAAATGGGCTTCACACATTGTGCCCATGTGGGGATTCGAACCCGGGCCTTCGGCGTGACGAGCCAACGCTTTAACCACTAGGCTACCCCACCGCCCCAATTATACTTATGAATAATGATATGTTTCAAAATGATGGTCAAAAACAACCTCCACTTCAAAGTTAGCAAAATTACAAAATATCTCTCAAGTCAACAATGGCGATATATATCAAACAAAACTATCAAATCAAACAAACCAGTCAGCCATACATACCATGCAGCGGAGCCTGGTTCATGAGTCCCTGGTAGCGAGTTCTTTAGTGTTCATGTGTCTGCATTTAATGCTACATTGTGTCCTCGGAAACAGATCAAAATCAACTCATTTGTCTTCCAAATCCCCAGTCTGGTTGTTTCGAAACTTCCCTTGTCCGATAGGACGACGGATTTCTACCGTATTGATGCTGGGACTTCTTTCTCGTTTTTTTCTTTTATTGAAACACGTGCACTTGCGGTTTGTAGATCTACATTGATCAACCTGCTGTGGTTAAACTGATCCGATTGGCTGAGGCATTCATTTTCCCGAGAACACGGTCCGGACATAGACAGTTTATTTATCAACGTGATGTATGGTGCAATCCTGTTGTTGTGAAAAAAACCCACCCCACCCCCAGACATCCGTTTAAAGCGAATGTGCTATACCAGATTGGTCTTGGTCCGGTTTCGCCAACGTGAATACCAACGGAAAGCCTGCCTTGACATTGCGCTTAACGATGACCTTCACCTTGCTGAAAGCCGACTCGAGACAGTCACGTGTTAGGTCGTGTTAACCTGATTATGTTTGAACATTTTCTTCTACGCATTGGCTTAACCCGGAAGACGGAATGCTTAAAATAATGTTAACATTATCCGCGCTGGCGGCGGTGTAGCACACCTCTGATGACCATTTGGACTTTGTAAAAGTAAAATTATATTATTTCCATTATTCCAGATCCCTTACAATATATTTTTAAATCCTTTTATAACAAATGGGTACGAATTCTCTTACAATGTGGTAAAAGGCTTTGTGTGAGTGAGTGAGTTTAGTTTTACGCCGCTTTTAGTAATAATCGAGCAATTTCACGGCGGGGGACACCAGAAATGGGCTTCACACATTGTACCTATGTGGGGAATCGAACCCGGGTCTTCGGCGTGACGAGCCAACACTTGAACCACTAGGCTACTCCACCGCCCCGTTTTAGGCATGCATTGACACACCGGTGTAAAGTAACCTTACTTATACCAGTGTATCTGTAAATGTTTGGGGTTATTAAACATTACTTTAAAAATTAAGCCAAATTAAATTCATAATCTAATTTTTTTTAATCCGTGTTAACATTGACACTAAGTCTTGAATGACTTCACTGACATATCGGTAAGTAAAGCATCAAGACTACTTTTTTCCCCACATTAAGCTGACAAGCCACGATATACCTGGTATACTGTGTCCCCAACTCTACAACTCTTATTAGAAAGGTATTTTTGTTATGTTTGTCTACCGTGATAATATGCCTGTTAAGGATACAAAGTGGGTATTGAGTGTAGGAATTCTTTCATTCAAACATAGAGTAAATGTTGCTCAATGTCGCCAAATGAAAGCGGCCTGTAAAACTCGATTCTTTAGGTTAGCTGGTGATCGAAAACATGAGGAACGATCGTTTCGTTACATGAGGTTGTATATTGTTTAATAACACGCCGCACGAAGCGATAAGGGCGCCTGGCAGGTAATCGAGTCTGGACCAGACAAACCAGAGTGGCGGTTACGGGGTATAATGCCGCTGTGCGTGCGTGCGTGTGTGCGTGCGTGCGTGCATGAGAGACAGGGGGCCAGTTCCACCCGGCGTTGAGTAAGCTCTGATTTAGGTAGAGATTGCGTTCTCTGGACCCTGGGGATGCTTTCATTCAAACAAAGAGTAAATGTTGCTCAATGTCGCCAAATGAAAGCGGCCTGTAAAACTCGATTCTTTAGGTTAGCTGGTGATTGAAAACATGAGGAACGATCGTTTCGTTATATGAGGTTGTATATTGTTTAATAACACGCCGCACGAAGCGATAAGGGCGCCTGGCAGGTAATCGAGTCTGGACCAGACAAACCAGAGTGGCGGTTACGGGGTATAATGCCGCTGTGCGTGCGTGCGTGTGTGCGTGCGTGTGTGCGTGCGTGCATGAGAGACAGGGGGCCAGTTCCACCCGGCGTTGAGTAAGCTCTGATTTAGGTAGAGATTGCGTTCTCTGGACCCTGGGGATGCTGCACGCTTGGTTGTATCGATGTCACTTTCAATCATCTGGATGCCGTATTTCGGAGACCCCTACCTGCAGTTACATTTGCAAAGATAGACTGCTCTTTTTGTCTTGTATCAGGGGTCGGGGTGTCCCTTCATATCCCGGATTAGAATGTTACGGTTCACGTCAGCAATTTCGTGAAATATCTGGCCCTCATTTCGCAACTCAGTGCGATACCTCGTATGGCAGAGTCTGTCAGTGACTCACTGACCAAACTCACCACGTGTTATATTGTCGTAGCAGGATGCAGGACAACGTGGACGCGACATCACCACGGCAGCAAAGATATCGTTCCATATTACATGTTATAGACAACTGAAGTACTTGAAAGATATTTAGAAGTTGGACATAAATACATGGTCAGGTGAAAGAAACGTCATGTAAAGAATAAAAAAGAATCTGTTATCCATAAAACGTGTAACGTATTTATAAACAACTCTATTAAATTATAGAAATGGGTGTACTCTTATTGCCGGTAGATTTTGACCGCGAGCACCAGATGTATAAAGTAGATGTATAGACCGATGAATTGCCATATACAGTGGGTAATGATGATGTCGAGAATGATGATGATGACGACGACGTAGGTTATGTCCGTCTGTTGGACAGAAAATACGACAAGTCAAGCCCATTTCTGGTGTCCCCACGCCGTGATACTACTGTAAGTCTTACGCACTCTGACCGACTTTGAAGAATACGACATTCTATATTATAGCAAGGAAACTGATCGGATGTTATTCAAATTCATGACTCAAGCACATGCTGAAGGTGCGAGGTGATTCGGGAGTACGGATAAAGCTATAGTCCGTCAACTTAACTTTTGGCACCCTGTTTTTCACAAATTACATTAAACTCCTGAATATTATAAAACGCTACTCTGTTCATATGATAATTGTATACTGTGACCTAACAAGATATCGATTTTAGTAATTCTAAAACAATTATTAAACATTTTGCCTTTAAACCTGTCATATAATAATTGTAAAACTGTGGAGAGTTTTACGAGGGGTTAACGCACGTGATGGAAAAGACAACAACATTGTAAAATGTGCGTCAGCGTAATATATACATGCACGGGTATTTACATTAGCACGCTCAAATGATGTCAAAGATCGTCAACACACAGGTTGTGGTAAAAACGATGCTGTACAAAGATGACCGGTAAATCATCAAAAGAGTTTACAACTTTTTCAAGCGCAAGGCAAAGCGAAAAAAACCCCTCTTTTTTCAATTGAGTGTTTCTCCAAAAGACACTTAATGCCACCAAGATCTGTAAAAGAACATAGCAAAGAGTTATCTCCCATGACACTATTTCAGAGACTGACGATGACATGGCAGTTAAATCGGGGACCGTCTCAAAACATGCAACGAACGATAGCTTGATGAATTCGATAGAAGGGTTGTTAGGGACGTCATACGTCGGTTAAATCGATCCAGTGAGTCCATATCGTCAAGCAAACTGAAGAAAATATTGTTCAAAAGAAGATCATGACATCAATGTATCAAAGCATACTATATGCAAGCTGTTGCTCAAATTTGGATCTTGATACAAGAGATTGAGCAACCAGTATTTAAAGACTTCAATAAATCTACTTGTTTAAAATGGATTTGTGATGATTATACAGTCCCTTTAGATTTGCTTGCAGGCATAACAATGCAAAGAAGATGCACGTGTGTCACACCATGTTGTTTGCTGTTCCATCGTATCATTTTACTCCCTTGTATAACTACTTCTATTTTTCATATTTTTATAAGATAGCTTCTTAAGAAGAAACTTTAATAATTAACATAAAATTATGAAATTTAAACCTTAGATAGGTCATAAGATATAAAGAGCGTATGCCTAAAAACATTTTGAAGGCATTTTTGGTGAAAAGGTAAATTGTGATGAACAGGGTGCCAAAAGTTCAGCTGACGGACTATAATTTATAAGAAGTGCAATTAAGCTTATTTCCCCTCGCCAGGTCTCAGTGTTGTCTTGCATATTATTCTATGAATTTAAGCAGGATTACTAAAACAGTTGTGTAAATCGCAGAGAGACGAAACATTTCCTCTCTGTGAACACATGGCCCCGTTTCAGCACACACACACCTCCCTAGACTAACGCTTAGTCCCTGAATATATATAATTTTGATAGTAACAAATAAACCTATTTAAACTGAAGAGGAGCCCAAGTGAGTTAGGAGATTCTGAACCTGAGGAAATCTAGACTTGCTTCATTTAGGGCTTTAGCACTGCAGGGAGGACTAAGCATTAGGGAAAATAATGTGGTTCAGGGACTGTGAGACAGACTAAAAACCCTCCCCCCATGCTATACCATAGAGTTAATTACGACAGCAGTAAGATATTTAAAGATTATGGCCATGGTGCCTTCATTGATGTTCAGTGATCCATACATATGAATTTCCCCTTTATTTGGCATATTACGTCCAATGGAATTTATTTGGGCCGATAACTGAAACTGCTTTTCTTATGGAGTTCACGTTTTATGAATATAAATTATATATTGTTTGTTGTTTAACGCCGCACTCAACAATATTCCAGCTATATGTCGGCGGTCTGTAAATAATCGTGTCTGGACCTTACAATCCGATGATCAACAGTATAAGCATTACTCTACGCATCTGGGATGCGATGACATGATTGTGTCAACCTAGTCTGTGAACCTGAGTCTCTGAATATATAATTTTGATACAAAAAAATAATTGCATTTAAGTTGCAAAGTGAGTTGAAGCCTGTTTTATCAACAAGACAAATTTCCAGCCTGGTGGTCTGTTCCCGGGCATATCTGGGTCGCATGAGATACTGACGGACAATTTTGAATTTTTTTACTTAATGCCTCTTACTTCATTACGTAAGTTGGATATTCATTTATATACACCAAGTCATGCCAGCTGAGTGTGGTGACAGAGACCCGCCCTATTGTTCAGGGCAATCTTCGACGTTCAATCCTTAATTTTGATTTGGGGTCAAAGTTCATTTGGCTTCCCCTGACGCAGCCTCCTGTAAAGGGACTGTCCAGCCTTGAAATAGAAATGTACGTGTATTGCTCATTCGCCCAAGGCGCCACAATTATGTCCCCTGGACAAGCAAAACACTCTGATTCATTCTGGGTTCGAATCCCTGTAGTACCGACTATGTTTCTTGGTTTGTCAGTACCATTCCCGTGCTCGTGGGTTTCAAC